AGCCACTGCCTCCTCCTGCCTTCCTTGCAGAGCTGTCGGATAAGTGGAAAGTCACTCATCTGAAGGTGAGACCCTCCGGAGGGGCAGGTGACCTTCCCAGGAACAGGCCTTCTCCTGGGGTACTGCCTCCTTCCCAGCTTAGACAACCCCAGCGTCACAGGGACCCAAGGGAGTGGCGGCCTGCGGGCACCTGGTTCCCAGAGGTGGCCCGCCCGGACCTCTCAGAAAGCCCTTCAGTGTCACACATCCTTGCGTCTGCTCTTCTGTGGCTGTGTGGGAATTTTGTCAGGGTTTCCAGGGCTTGGGCTCCAGGTGCTCCTGCTTACCTGCACCAGGAGGAGGGTGGGGCTGGGCTGTGGGGGCAGCGTGTGCAGCCTCTACCCCCTGACCCCACAGGAGCACAGGAAGGCCTTCCAGCTGATGTGGCTCGGCTTCCTCAAGCACAAGGTAGGACGGGTGGGGGCAGTAGCACCCGGGTCTGGGCCCCTGCCCTGTGCCGTTTGTGGGGTGGGGCAGGCCGCACCCTGACGCGCGCCTCCCCGCAGCTGCCCCTCAGCCTGTGCAAGAAGGTGCTGGTGATCATGCACGATTCCATCCTGCCGCACCTGGCCCAGCCCAGCCTCATGATCGATTTCCTCACCCGCGCCTACGACATCGGTGAGCAGGGGGCCATGCCAGGGGCCTGGCCGGCCAGTGACGTGCGTGCCGGAGGCTCCCGGGGTGGGGGTGCAGATCAGCCGGGACTCCATGGCGGGGTGTCTGTCTGCAGGGGGAGCTGTCAGCCTCTTGGCCTTGAATGGACTTTTTATCCTGATTCATAAGCATAACCTGTGAGTGTCCACCTGGGGGGTGTGCAGGCCTCTCCACTGCCCCAGCCCTGCCTGTCTGTCCCTCCCTGTCCCTTCTCTGACCCAGACCAGGCCCCAGCTCTGCCCAGGTGTTAGGAGGCTTTGGAGAGCCCACTGGGCCTCCCCAGGGGAGGGTACTGAGCCCCAGGGGCTGTGGTTCCTTGGGGTCCCGACCTGTCTGCTTGCTTTGTGCTTCCACCCCATGTGCCTGAACCCCTCACCCCCACACCCCCAGGGAGTACCCCGACTTCTACCGGAAGCTGTACGGCCTCCTGGACCCGTCCATCTTCCACGTCAAGTACCGGGCTCGCTTCTTCCACCTGGCCGACCTCTTCCTGTCATCCTCGTGAGTACCTCCGTCACAGCAACAGGGTCGCCCGTCCCCACCCGCGAGGGACGGGGTTCCCTACCTCCATCACAGGGCTGCACCCTGGGGCTGGAGCGCAGGGTGTGGGGTCTCACACCCGCCTTTCTGCCCAGCCACCTGCCCGCCTACCTGGTGGCCGCCTTCGCCAAGCGCCTGTCCCGCCTGGCCCTGACGGCGCCCCCCGAGGCCCTGCTCATGGTCCTGCCCTTCATCTGCAACCTGCTGCGCAGACACCCGGCCTGCCGCGTCCTCGTGCACCGGCCAGGGGGCCCTGGTGAGTGGGCCGCGGCCGCGACGCCTGCCAGAGGCCAGCATGCGGGCGGCTGGACATTAGTCCTCTTGTTCCTAGAGCTGGACGCTGACCCCTATGACCCTGGCGAGGAGGACCCAGCCAAGAGCCGAGCCCTGGAGAGTTCCCTGTGGGAGCTGCAGGTGAGGGCCCCCAGGCCACCCCGAGCCACTGCCCTGTCCCCTGATGCACGAGCTCCTCCTGTTGCCCCACAGCCCCTGGCCCACCCTGTCACCCTGCTTACCTGGGGGGGAACCCAGGCCTCTGGAGTCCCACTCTGCCCCCAACATTGCCCATGGAGGAGTAGTGACGGCCCGTGTGCCCCCCAGGCCCTCCAGCGGCATTACCACCCCGAGGTGTCCAAGGCGGCCGGTGTCATCAACCAGCTGCTGTGTTTGCCTGAGGTCAGCATCGCACCGCTCCTGGAGCTAACTGCGTTCGAGGTGAGGGCGAGGGCGCGGGCCGGGGGCTGGGGGCACGGGGCTCAGGCCCAGGGACCTCGGAGAGCATCTGTCCGTCTGTCCCTTGCAGATGTTTGAGCGGGACCTGAAGAAGAAGGGACCTGAGACCGTGCCGCTGGAGTTCGTCCCTGCACAGGGCCTGCTGGGCCGCCGGGACGACCTCTGCGCCCAGTACTTCACGCTCAGCTGACCCTGGACTCCCCTCCCCCCAATTAAATGGTTTTGCAGGAGAGCGACTCAGGTGGGCTGTGGGTGGGCGGGCAGGGGCCTGGCTCCTTTCTGGGGGCTGTGCCCGCTCGGACAGCACCCGTGTGCACCGACAGTCCGCACACCCTCCATGCACCGGGCCTTTCTCTACAGCCTGGTGGGGCTTGGTGGGGGCTGCGGGAATGGGCCTTGTGCCTCGGGTCAGTGGTGATGGGAGGGGCACAGCCACCCATCCCTGCGCGGGGCCATGTATGTCCAGGAACCTAGGTGGGCGGTGAGCGGCAATGAGTCCTGGGTGAGTTACAGGTGGGCCCAGTTCACTCTGTGATCCGACCTCCAGCAGAGCAGAGTCCCTGGGGCCTCCAGGGTAGGAAGTGTCCACGAGAGCCTTGGCCGAGCGTCCAGAACCAATGCCAGGGTTGGGGGGGGGCGGGTGTTGCCTGACAGGGGCCTCACGGTGGGAAGGGAGGATGCGGAGCCTCTTGGGTGCTTGTGAAGACAGGTAGTACCCTCCCCTCCAGGGGACTGCCCAGGTGAGTCCCTCCAGGTGCCATGAGCTGACATGGGCTCCTCCCAGGCAGCCCCGCCATGGGGGCAGCTCCCCAGGGCAGCGTGGCTCCCTGCTGTTGCCAGTGTGGGCGACCTCCCCGTCCCCATGTGGCCAACCCGTGTCCAATACCAGCTCTCCCCAGCTTAGCCTAGAGGCAGACATCTCCCTCAGCACCACACAGCCCAGCGGAGAGGGGACGCCTGCCCGACCGAGACCCACCCCACTCCTGCCTCNGAGGACCAGGAGCAGATCCAGGATGCGGTGCGCGCGTGCAGCCGCCTTTTTGGGGCCTTGCTGGAGCGGGGAGAGCTGTTTGTGGGGCAGCTGCCCCCCGAGGAGACCCTCATGGCAGGTGAGCTCCTGGAGGGCCCAGGGCCTCATGCCTGGCAAGGTTGGAGAGAGACCTTGTCAACGTGGGATGAACCTCCCAAAACCTCATCAAGCGCGTGCAAGCTGGTGGCCAGGCAGACCATGCCCATCGTGGGAACCATGGTTGTGCTTGGGGGGTGGGGGGCAGGACGGATTTAATGGAGGCTGAAGAATGATGACTTTTGTGTGTATTATGTACCACTTGTGGGGCTTTATGTTGTTTAATGTTGATGGTCAGTACCATACAAAGTTGGGGTCACATGTCCTGATTCTTGGGATGTCCAGGTCTTGGGGGAAAGTGAGGGCATGGGGACCCTGCCCTTGGGGTAGGACCTGCTGTCCCTGGCTGGGGCATTGTGCTGGTCCTGCCCCAGGTCTGCGGCCATGGTTTGTACTCGTTTACCTGGCTCAGTAGAGGGCAGTGCCTAGTCTGGCATGTGTGGGCATTGATGTGGGGGGCCTGCCCTGCCCCGCCCGCAGGGTCCCAGGGGGCGACACGGAAGTACAAGGTGTGGATGAGGCACCGTTACCAGAGCTGCTGCAACCGCCTGGTGGAGCTGCTGGCCCACTCCTCGTTTCAGGTCAAGGTGAGTCTTGGGGTCCTCTGCCTTGCCTCATCCTTGTGCGTTTCCACACGCTCAGCCCGAGGCTCTGTGCACACATAAGGGGCCTGGGGTGTGCTGCGGACACGTGTCTGCACACTTACCTGTGTAGGTAAGAACACTCTCTTCCCTTTCTTGGCCAGTTTTCTGGTGGGTGGCTCCATCCTGTCCCATGATCCTTACCCTGTGTTAGCTGTGGGTATTCAGGCCCAAATGCCAGGGGAGCCCTGTGGGTCAGTCTGCAGGGAAGATGAC